ATTTTTTCATTTTCCTTTGTATTACTTAAATAAATAAATACTTATATATAGAAGATTCTTGCTCTAAACAGCTACCTTCGTAATCTCGAAGTGCGAGACACGGAGGATAATTGGAAGATCTTACGAGCTGGCCGAAGGCCGGCGAAGTTTGATCTAAATTATCCGAGTGTCTCGCACGAGAGATTCCCACCCACATATACTAATAAAAATTTACCCACCCTTTTTCAGGTAAAATAAAAAATGAATTAGCATGGTAACCTAGAGGCGCTTGTGTTTTATTTTTTAGCTTTGAACTTGTGGTTATTGACATAAAAGTAGTGATACTACCTTCGTAATCTCTCGTGCGAGACACTCGGATAATTTAGATCAAACTTCGCCGGCCTTCGGCCAGCTCGTAAGATCTTCCAATTATCCTCCGTGTCTCGCACTTCGAGATTACGAAGGTAGCTGTTTAGAGCAAGGATCTTCTGTATATAAGTATTTATTTATTTAAGTAATACAAAGGAAAATGAAAAAATGAATTCATTGTAACTATTATCAAACAAATGTTTGATGAAAACAACAACAATTTAACTTAGTAGACTGGGTGATAAAACAGACTTTGTGAATGAATTATTTTCAATAGTTATTGGCTGATGATAAAAATCAGCAAAAACTCTTGAGTTTGGAGACCAACCAGCCACTTTTTTAATTTCCGCAATGCTCACACCTCTTGCACATGCTTTCGATGTCGAGGCATGCCGCGTAGAATGCGCAGTGAATCTCTTATCCACTCCTAAAGTGACCAACGTCGATCTGATCCAACGACTAATTGTTTCACTTTTTACTGCCTTATGAGGCTTGTTAAAAGAAACAAATAATGAGTCAATGTTTCCTCGCAGGGCTTTTGTCATCACTAGGTACTGGTTTAAAGTATGTGCAATACACAGCTCAGGTTTATCACGGAAAAAAGGGATCTTCAATACTGGTTGCGGAGCCCCCGGTCGAGAAGTTTTAATTCTATCAGAAATACGTATTTCAATTTTTCTTTCTGAAGCAATGATGTTAGAAATTTTAATTAACGAAAACGTTTGAGAGCGATGGGCAGTACCCAAAGCTAATACCAACACTAATTTTTTCGTTAGTTTCTCTAAAGATAACTCCTCTCACGGAAACCACGTTGCCAACTTATCTAAAACTGGATCCACATCCCACGTGGACTCATATTTGGGTAAACTGGGCCTTATCTTTGAAGATCCTTTAATGAATCGACTGATCAGTTGATTATTTGTGACATCCTCCGCTGATATTAATGACAGTGCTGCTCTCGCAGAGTTAAGCGTACTATATCCAACACCATCATCAAATCTTTCCGAAAGAAACTTCAAAATCTTTGCCACTGACACAACATACGGATCCTCATCATTCTGTCCATTCCATCGCCACCAGAGTTTTAGAGTCCCATTATAATTTTTTAATGTTGACTCTGTTAAAGAAGCGATTGAAATATCAATTGCTTCTCTAGGTGTATCCTTTATCAATAATGCTTGGCAGATAACTTGGTGGCAACCAGGATAAGTTTCTTCGCTAGAGGATGTTGGCGGGATCTACAAGGAGAAACCAAGATGCTAGGATCTGCTTCAAACAGAACCCACTTCCCTACTGCTAATTTTTGGAAGGTTGGGAACCAGACCTGAGTAGGCCAGTGAGGTACCACTAGTACCCCTTCTGCCTTATCATCCTTAATTTTTTTAATTACTCGGGTTATTATAGAGAAAGGAGGAAAAGCGTAAAACATCCAACCAGACCAGCTGATTGTGAAGGCATCGAAGGCCAATGCCCCTGGGTCTCTTTTCCATGAGCAATAGACTACGCACTTGGTGTTGATTCGCGAAGCAAATAAATCGATTTCTAGTTTCCCGAAATTCTCCGCAATTACTTCAAAAGCATAATCCGCTAATTCCCACTCAGCATCCGAGTTATCGATTCGCGAAGAACGATCAGCTTCGACATTCTCCTTTGAAGGAATATAAGTAGCGTAGACCCATAACCGACGGACCTCGCACCAATCCCACAGCTCACATGCTAACTCATGGAGACCAGAGAACCGAACGCCTCCCATTTTATTGATGTAGGCCAACGTTGTAGAGTTGTCCACCATGAGTAAAATGTCTAGATCTCTTAAATCAGCTGCAAAACATTTCAAGGCTAGCAAAGCTGCCTTAAGCTCCAAATGATTTATATAAAGACTCCTTTCCTGTTGGTCCCACGATCTATTGGCATCTTCACCATTGCAAAAAGCACCCCATCCAGATAAGGAAGCATCCGAATAGATCGTTTTTTCATACCGATTATTTCTAATCTTCCAGATTCTAGAAACCGAATCCAAAATAAACCCCAAATATTTACATTTCCTTTCGGGCACCAATTTGGACTTTTCATAATTAACAATAAATCCTAACCTCTCCAGCAAGACAATAGTTTGAGTTAAATTTTCGCTGCATTCTCCAATCGACTGACCCAAGCACAAAAAATCATCTAAGTATACAACCGAGAGCCAACCGTTGGAACGCAGGTAATTTATAACAGGTTTTAATAATTTTGTAAAAGTCAACGGACACGTACACAGACCAAAAGGTAAGCACACGAACTCGTAAATTTTTTCATTATACAAGAATCTCAAAAACTTGCAATGTGGTTTCCACACAGGAAGCAGGAAATAGGCGTCTTTTAAATCAATCGTCCCCATGAAAATACCTTGTTCTAAAAGGCTGCAAGCTGATCTAAGATCCTCGAGTTTAAAATGTTCTGCAGCAATAAAAGTATTTAACTTTTTCAAGTTCAGAATAAATCTCTGCTGACCATCAGATTTAGGAACTAGAAAAAACGAAGAAAGAAACTGATCTGGAACTTCCTCAGCTTCCACAATCGCTCCTATTGAAAGTAGCCTATCAATTTCTGATTGAATGTATGCCGATTCCTGCTCCGACCAATTTCTAGACGGTGGAGGATTAATTTGAAAGGGGGTTGATTCAAAAGGTATTTTATACCCTTTCACAGTCTGGATGATAAACTTGTCCTTAGTGATCGATTCCCAAACCTTTACAAAATGTTTAAGACGACCCGCAAAAATACTTACAACGTCCTGCTGGACTAACGGTTCTGAGAACGCTGATTTTGCTGTCGATATTGACTCGACTTCGGGTAAGTTGATTGCTTGGGTGGAAATCTGGAAATCAGTGGTTTTTTCAAGACTGATGTTCTCCCGCCCGTCTGAGTCACTGACTTCTTCTGGCTCGACGAGCCCTTCGCGTTTAAAGGACCAGGTGATACAAAAGTTTTCTTAACTGGAGCCGACTTCATCTCCTCACCAACCTTCCCAATAGCCTTAATCTCTTTCACTTTATCCACCAACTTCTCTCCGAACAAGTAACTATCTGTTACTCTTTTTTCAAGAGCAGTAGCCCACTGCTTGGACAAAGTAGGCAGGATGCAAGCCTTACGTGCTACTGTTTGAGATCTATGAATTTCGATTAGCAGCTTCGCAGCGTCCCAGATCTGCTCTAATCTTTTCATACTTTCTGCATCCCTCAGTGGTGCCAACGACTCGATTGCCGGAGCCAACGCTGCTAAAGCAGATCCTGCCAATTTCTGTGTTGCTCCAAAATATTTGTCTCTTTTTAGAGCCGATTCTTTCAGATTTACTGCCACCTTATCATTTAGAATCGGTGGTTCGAATGAAAGCTTACCCTTCCTAGGGTATTTTTCCATAAGGGAATCCTTTACCTCTTTTTTAAGACCTTCTGACAAATATTTTTTCCAACGTATAGCGACACTAGAGTGTAAGATCAACTCAGGCTCTTTTTGCGCAGGATCTTCCCCAAAGATACGAAGACCATCTGCATCTAATTCCCATGGAATCTCGTCTGCAGCCGATGTAGCAGAATCTTTTACATTTCCCGCAGAAGGACCTCCTACTTCTGTAGATCCGTCTTTTTGATTCTCAGTTTCCTCGGTGGGAGGATCCAGATCTATAACCTGGGATTTTTCGGAATCAACATGTTGTTTTGCCGCAGGATCCTGCTCCTGATCTTTGATCTCTGCAGACAAATTAAAACAAATTAATTTCGATACCAATCGCAGTTCATTTGTTTAATTTGTTAAAGAAAAACAAACACGGTTAATTTGTTTATTTTACTCTAAACTTATCTCTCGGATAAGACAGAGTAATTTAATCTCTACTTAACCTTCCAGGTAAAGTCTGATCAGCATGTATGACTTATTTTACCTCACGGGCAAAACAAATCTCTCAGAAAATATTATAAATATTCTAGTTTGAATAATATTACTCGCCTCACGGGCATGAAGGCATATTTATTGCATAAGGAAAAAACGTCACCATTTCGAACATTTCGAGCGAACGTTTAACCATAGCCAAAATCCATTTCAAATTACCTTCAATAACTGCTGTGTCTGTATTAGGCACCTCCAACTCTGGAGCCTCTCGTGATAAGATGGCTTCTCTTATCGCAGCAAAACCCGTTGCGATTTCTTCCATCCTATCTTCTAACTTTCGGAGTCTTTTAGACGTCCTCTCGCTCGAATGATCACGGCTTCTGGATCGCTTCTTATGACTCCCCATCGTTAATAATATTTATAAAAATAATATTTAAAAATGTTTACTTAATGCACTGACGTGTGGTTTGTCTGACACAAAATAAAAGAATGAGTAAACAATTATAAGAAAGTGCCATGGTAACCTAGAGGCGCTTGTGTTTTATTTTTTAGCTTTGAACTTGTGGTTATTGACATAAAACTAGTGATACTACCTTCGTAATCTCGAAGTGCGAGACACGGAGGATAATCGTCATCATCCTCCAGGATTCTATTCCAGGCTAAATATATATTCAGCGGATAAATATCTAAACGTATAGATTGCGAATTTACAATCCGAATAGTGCAGAACAGAACAGAACAGAAAGCAGTGAAAGGGAATTCAGACAAACAGAATAGACAATGTCATGATCTTGCTCTTCCTCTGAATTTGTATTCAACCATTCAAATATTTGTCTATGGTAAATACCTTCAATAGAGATTTTATCAAACTAAAAGTGATAACCTAACGTCTGGTACTAGTTCTTTTTTTTATCTTGTATCATACTGCTCAAAAAAAATTTTCAGTTGTAAATGTTTCATTTTATGACAAACAAATTATTTCTGAAATTAATTGCAAAATCTTACAAAAAATCAGGTCAAATTTTTTGCGATCGTTGACCTTTAATTAACTTTACATTTTTTACTATTGTCTGAACAATTTAAGAGCGAGTAATTTTACTTTTGGTGATTAAAAAAATATTTTATTATTTTGTTGACAATTCCGAGTAATGAAGTTATCGACATCATACAATACCCGAGAATTCCTAAGCGCTGTTATTGATAAGAAATCAATCATTATATCGTTGATTTAATGACTCGGATTAAATGAATCTAATTATCAAGTTGAAATCCCGCTTCGTTGAAAATTATAGCTAAATTCAGATAATTGTTTATCTTTTTATTTATCTGATACACGTGCCGTCGAGCTCCTACTCAAGGCCTCTTGCAACAATTAAAAATTATTATTTTTATTTATTTTGTTCAAATATGACCCAATGACACGACTCAGCTTCAACATTTTTAATGAAAAAATCGATCGATTAATTAAAATTAGACATGCTAATTTTTAAAGTTCCTAGAGCGATCAAATACTTTTTAATTAATAAATCCAATAATAAAAATAGAACAAATGTATGCAGAAGAAGAGTGTGAATGGAAGACTGTAAAAGAACGTTGACTAAACTCATAAGCTGTCAAGTACTTGGATAGGACAGAGAGTTTAATTAATTAACACAATGAACTGGAAAGAAACTTTAACGGTGCTGTTGTAGAAGGTAACATGGTTCAATTGACTATTGAAAGTCAGGAATTACGTTAAAGTAAACGGTCGATTCATTTACAGAGTGTCACTTTTAATCAAAGGTTTTATTCCACCTGTTACTATATGTAGCAGTTAACTTTTAGAACACCTGAAAAATCATTTACCCATGGCAATTTTCATTCTTACGCTGGAAATTTTTCATGAATAAATTCAACTCGTTAGTCACTCACGTTATGTACAGGTCAATTATTAATTGGTAGCGTACTTAATTGAAGCAGTCCAAGTTAGTTTGTATACAGTGTTAATAAATGCAATAATAATCTACGGTGTCATTATTATTTTTTTTTCTACCGGGAAATCAAGGGAAATTTTTATTTTCTTGATTTTTTTTTCCGTAATTACACGGAGAGAAATTTATAGGAATCTTTCCAACAATTATGGGAATGGATCCTATAATAAAATTATCATTATAGGCATTAATCCTATACTCATTATGGGAACCATACCCATAATTTATTGGAAACGTTCCTATACAATAATGGAATAGCTTCAATATATTATGGGAATGGTTCCTATAATATTATAGGAATGGTTCCTATAATATTATGGGAATGATGCACATAATAATAGAAAAAAATTTATTTTCTTAATAATGAAGCAATCACTTCAAAAATATAAAGTAATTATTATATATTTTGCCGTCATTATCTATATTTATATTATTATATTTTGCCGTCATTATCTATATCTATATTATTTTGCCGTAATTATTATATATTTTGCCGTCATTATTATATATATGCCGTCATTATCTACTCATCGGTCCGCCTGGGTTCATCTTTGTTTGATTCAAATCTTGCTCGTTATACTGATATTTACTCTTATTCCTGCACCCATGAGATATTTCCTCTACTCGTATTCATTCATTCTATATCCTATATACTATTATACTCACCAGATTCCGGATACGTTTCCTATGATATAGCGAGATCAAAGCCCAGCCAACTGAGTCGAGAATCGTGTTAATTTCAGGTATAATTAACGATCATTCTGATGAAGTTTTAATAACGAGGATGCTCAAAAAAACCAGTACTTATATGGTTATACGTCTAAAAAAAAATGATAATAAAATAGACAAGTTGATGGGTTCGAAAAAAAAATTGTTTTAAAACCAACCTATGCAAAAATAATAATAATAATAATAATAATAATGAAGAATTTATTTTTTATTTATCAATGCCATCAGTCCTTATTCAAACACGGAAAAAAAAATATTGTTAAAATGACTATCCAACGTATCCTCAAATGACGTTTCTTTATAATAAAGATCCGGATTTCTGATTTAATTTAAGGATTCATTCGTTTGATTTAAAAGCATACATAGAATAGCTCTTGTAAATATATGTAGTTTCGTCAAAACAGGTAATTGTTTTGTTAACGTAAGGATCTGTATAGTTGAAATAACTAAATATAACGCTAAAATAATGATATGGATCGTCATTTTGATGATCCTCTGTATAGCTGAATTGGCTATACAGCGTAGATCTCTAAAAAAATGACTATTACGGCGTATAGTCAGAATAACGATACGTATACTTATTCTAATGATATTTTTTTCTCCGTGAATAATCACACGGAAAACAAATTGTAGAAAAAATTACAATTGTCACATCGTAATCCAGGACCATACGTTTAATATGTTCACTTTGATAATTTTACATTTACAATATTGCAACGTAAAAATGCTTATAAAAGTAAATGTTTGAATTTTTACGATGTAACATCTGGTCCTGGATTACGATGTGACAGTTGTAATTTTTTCTACAAATTTTTTTTCTGTGTACCAGCACCCCACATGTAGTCATTGAGATCCAGGTTCGATTCCTGGATTGGTCCTGGTTCCTAAAATTTTTTTCAAGATGATCTTTGCTTCCAACAAGTGAAAATTGTCTTATAAAAGTAAAAATATATCTTTATTATATCTAAGTATCAAAGTATAGTATATTATATTAAAACTAGTAGTTATTTGAATAAGGACGAAATAGTTCAATTAAAAATAAATTCATAATAAAAAGCTACCAGTTAAGCAAGTATATGATACTATATATCATAATTCTTCAAAAAAACAAAATAACAATGAGAATAATAATAATAATAATAAAAGGAATTTAAGGCACACTCATATATAGCCTCGAGTCAAGGAAGTTAATAAGGAACATTAGGAATTTAATGATCTACAGCTAAAGATGGTCGTTCGTTAAATGTTTAGTGAATGGAATATTTTTTAATCGCCCCAATAAAATGACTCGTTTATACACTAATAAGTTTTGCTTTATTTTTTATTATTATTATGATATAAAATTGAATATATCAAATACATAAAACATTTTTTGTTTTTTATAGACATTTGGTGTAGTATAACTGTATTAAAATTACAAATTCTTAAGAGCTATTTTTTCTTTTATAATATAAATTCCTTATTATTCGACTAATTTTAGTGAAAAAAAAAAAAAAAAATTACTTCCCTTTTTTTTGTACTCTCTAAAGTCGATGTGGTTTAGAATGTTCCAAATTCAACGTGTGCAATGTCGAGAATATTTTTTGTAATTTTTTAAAATAATTATTTTTCTAAAAAAAATATGATGTTCTAAAAATCGAAATTTTTATAAAATTTCCGTGATAACAAAAAAACTTTATTAAAATTAGATTAGTTACAATTTTATAGTCCTTACTGAATTTTCTGTAAAATTTTGAAAATTGTACATTTTGTTGCACATAGCCAGTTTTTTAAATAACATATCACCGTACTGGTAAAATATATAACAAATTTTGGAAAGTTTTCTAAGCTTAAAAAAATTATAAATTTGTTAAAGCGATTGTCTTTCGATAAATATCAATTTCTGATAATATGAAAATATTTGTAACTCATTTCGATGAATTAAGAATTTTTGTTTCAATTTAATTTATAAAAAATCTTTAGTACACGTTTTATTACACTGGAAAAATTAAGTTAATTCAAGAAAAAAAATTCTTAAACTGAGAAATTTTTCTTGGTTTAAGTAAATTTTACTTGATTAATAAATTTTTCTCTTGAGTGAAGTTAATTTTTTTTTAAATTTATAACTATAAACTATAACTCATGAATATTATTAATATAAAACTATAGTTTATAAACTAGCAATAAATAATATATAGCAAAAAGTATATTAAAAAGTTAATTTGGAGCGTGTTGAAGTTTGGCAAATGTGGTTTTGTTGTAGTTTCTGCATATACATACTTTTATTTATCGTAGATGAGAAAACCGCGAAACATGAAACTATTTAGGTTCATATATCACGTATACAAGTTAATTTATATTTAATTAATGCTCATATTTGACAGTTTCCGCATGAATAATTATTATTATAAATATTAAATAATCATTAATAGCTAAAATTAAAATTAAAGTATTGTGAAAAGTAGATGATTGTTGACTTTCTCGTTGAAATTCACTAATCAGAAACATTTTCTTAAGCTACTTTCGGTGATTGTTTGATGATTACAATTCCTGATTCCAAAAAAAAATTTTTTGTTATTGAAAGTCTAAAAATATGTTTGAGGTGTGCAAAAACAAATAAATAAATGCTTACTATCTTATAAGTAGATTTCCTTGTAGTTATTCATCAACCACTCTATTAGAATTTGTCATAACAAATATAATGGTAATCCTTCATATCGCATGGTTT